CCATGGCTCAATGCTATTGAATTCTGGGATTTGTAGTTTTGTGAGATACTTCGCATTCTTTGTCAGTGCCCTGGTTACACAACAAACTACAAATCCCAGGATTTCATAGGAGGAAGTCATGACAGGTAAAGCTGTGTCAAACTGCATTCGTTCTGCATTATTTCTGCAGCATGGCAGCAGCTTTAGGCTGCATCTACACCGTAGGAAATTGCAGTTTGACACCACTTTAAGTACTGTAGCTCCATCTTGTGGTATCGCGGGATTTGTTGTTTTACAAAGTCTTTAGCCTCTGCCAAAGAGTGCTGGTGCCTCACAAAACTACAAATCCCAGGATTTTGTAGGAGGGAGCCATAGCAGTTAAAGTGATGTCAGACTGCATTATTTCTACAGTGTAGATGCATCCTTAGTTTCATGTATAGCTCACCATTCAGAGGCTATCGGTAGCAAAATAATGTATTTTCCCTGATCCTCAGCAGATTGAAATCAGGCTGCAAGGGCCATTTCTTTGGATGACTTTAAGAATATGAGGCTTCCAGCCTGCTTCATATAAAAGATGGGAGGGTATGTGCTTCTTTGGAGATAGACAAAGAAGGACAGTCATGCCACAGCTAGTCTTTAATAACATCCACAAAGCACACCGCACATTTCAAATATGGGCTTTATAGCCCACAAATGCAACTGAAGCAGTACCAAGTCTAAATTCCGTCTGTTGTCTCTGCCAAAGAATGATTTTGCCTTAACAAATAGGTTGTGGTGATTCACTTCCTACTATGGAATATTCTCTATAAAACTTGAGCTGTGCGAGATGGTTTCTCCATGGAGATACACTGCTAAGAGCCACTGTGATATTAATTTAAAATACCTGAATGCAGACTACTGGATCTCAGTTAAGATATTCTGCTTCAGACAATGGCCAGTATCTACTATACAAGGCATACATTATCTTTTAACATAAGCTGTTTGTTCTGAATAGTTTCATTTCAGGAAGAGAAACATCACCCTTTGCACTAAGGGAGAATTGCTGTTTCCTATCTAAGATTTACCATGTATCCTATTCCTCCTGTTGCCCACTGCAGCAAAGACCAACAAAATAAGCACAATTGTTGTAGTAACCAGGAAGAACGAATTATACCTTTCATTTGGAAGGTGCAGAGTTTTGCGCTGGGGCGTTTTATTCAATGTGCAGAAGGCATCAAGTTACTCCTTACAACTGGAATTATTTTAGATGCCTTTGAAAAGGTGAAGTAAAATTATGGTAAAATGATTCAAAGTCAAACCATCTCATTCTTTTCTGTTGTTTCTTCCCGTATTGCAAAGTTGATTGAAAATGTTTTTGAATGATGTGTTGGAAAGCCATAGCAAGGAATTTTGCCAGCCTGGTCTCCTTTCATTTTCATCTCTTTCAGACAGAATGGTTATTAACTTCACTTATTCTTCTTCAGTAGTTTGTTCTTTGGAGATGTCACGATGACACAAACTCAGTGGCTAAGGGCACACATTTATCTAAAGCTTTAGGATTGCCAAGATGGCTGGACAATTTTTCTTCAAGGTGATTAGCACCATCTTCCTTGCCAGCTAAAGCTTCTGATACATCCTGAGTTGGCATAAGCCTGGCAGAGCGGAGGAGAGGAGACCAAGTAAGAGGGCTGGAGTTAGGAATCAATTGTTTAAAAATTCCTCCCGTTAAAAGCACTGGAAATATTTTTGGCAACTTTTTGGGCTGACATAAATTTCTTCCGGTGTGTGGGCATGTCTGGAGGCCCTTGGTTTTCCTGATCTGCCCTCTTTCTGCCCTTTCTGACAAAGGAAGGATTAAGTATTTATAAGTGTTAGAAGTACCAATATTTCCAAGGCAGGAGGAAGAGAGTTCTTAGGCCAGATCTCTTCTTGCATGGCTGGACCCCTTTGCTCTTGGAAGTGGAGACCCAATCTATCCTGTGGATCCAAGAGCCCTTCTGGGGATAATAGGCTCTCATGGTTAGATTACAATCCTGTACACACTTACTTAAGGTAAAGCTTGGTTTAAATATAGTGAAACTACTAAATAAATAACAGCAGCTGCATGAAATATAATGTAGTTTTAATATGTCTTGCAACCCAGTCCTAAAAATAAGTTTGTTGTTGGGTGCTTTCAAGTTGTTTCCAACTTATGGTAACCCTAAGGTGACCCTATCACATGGTTTTCTTAGCAAATTTCTTCATAGGGTGTTTGCCATTGCCATCCTTTGAGGCTGAGAGAGTGTGACTTGCCCAAGCAGGATTCAGACCCTGTTCTCCAAAGTCATAGTCCAATGCTCAAACTGCTACACTACCCTGGCTCTCATACAAATATATTACTTGAATGTAAATCACATTGAGTTCAACGGGTTCAACATCCTGGTATTCATGCTTAAAATTTCCAGTGAAACATGATGAAAAATAGTGGATGGGGGGGTTTCAAGCCCCCCTGCTAAGTCTAGGCCTAGTGGGTTGAGCCCCTCCTCCAAAATGGTCAGGCAAATTGGATCACCAACACTCCTGTGTAGTTGAGCTACTTTAGGAATCATCTGTCAGAAAAAATACTAAGTGATCAAGTGCATGCACATACACACTATTAGCAGGTATGAAATTAATAAAATTTTGGGACACGTGGAGTTTCCTCTATGACCCCGAACTGACCTCTTTGGGATGTCAGCCATAATCCTCTAGATGGCAAGTCAGGTAGGCATCAGGAGGGCCTGCCCAAACAATTGTAAAATTCCCTATCAGACAGGTTTGGGAGTTGCTAAAGGGGGAAAAAACCATTATACCAAAAAGGGACACATTGTCCAAAGTCTCACTCTTGATGGGGCAGTGATCAGATTTAACTGCACCCTCTTTCTCCAGCCTTCCTTCCTTGATTGAATCAAAACCAAATGCATTGTTTAGACTGGTCTCACACCTGGGTTTAACAGAGCTAAGATGATCGATGCCTTTGTCCAGGCTTCAGCCAAGCCATTTAGTCTGTAGCTAGATGCAAGATATGGCCTATATAAACCTTGGGGTTTTTAGGCTCCACGTGCTATCTTTGGAGTGCATGCTGACGCCACATCAGTCTGTGCTTTGATCATAGCTCCCTCGGCCATCCCCTCCCCCATTTTGGATGCCATGCATCATCATCATCATCATCAACATCCACAGTGGATCCCGGAGAAGCCTTCAGAAGTGAGTACCTCCCTTAGTCTGGCCCATCTCAAGCTATTCCCCCTTCCACTCCTTTATTTCTAAGTGTGCAGTGTGTGTGTGTGTCTGTATGCTGTATTTGTGTGTATGCAGTTTTCTCCTTTAATAAATATTTAGACCTTAATTGAAGAAGCCTGTATCAGCGTCATCCATTGTAGGAGTCTTAGTCCTCTGGTATACATATCTCTACCCGGTCTCATGGGGTGTTGTTAGGGCCCCGCTCTTGCATATTTTAACTAATTAGAAATTCCCCTAATTAGATCCTTCCTAACAACACATACACACAAAGCTATGGTTCTCAACTGAAAAGGAGCATTAAAATGCATGTAAAACTACATATTTTTCTTAAAATGCATACTACAGTATGCATTTATGTTAAAATGGAACAAAAGAAGTATATTTTGGTATGAAATACCTTCAATGTGTGTATTTTAATTTTGGGTAAATTCATAAAAAGAGATATATTGTGAAAGGTACATCCAAAAGTAATGCACATATATGCCAGGGGTGGGAACTGCATGGCTGTGATGCCCAGCAGCTCTAGCCACTAAGGTAAGGAAAGCTGGGAGTTGCAGTCCAACAAATGTACAAGTTAATTTATGAACTTATATACTTCTGGATACCTAGAAATTGCCTAAGTGCAAAGCTGTCCCATTTCATTTCCACACAGATGGGCCATGCCCAAGACAACTGCTTAAAAGAACAGAGATGACTGATCAGTCTATTTTTGTTCCATTTCGATTTCACATGCATTCACTCAAAGTACATTTGACATCAAACTGCTCTTTTTTTTTAAAGAAAAATGTGCCTGAAAATAATGAGTTGTGCACAGTAGCACAAAATTCTGAGATGTGCAAAAATGGAAGGATACCAATGTTTGGATCTTCATTCTAGTCTAGGAAGTGTGAATCATGCAGGATCACTTAAAAATGAAGATTGATTGGAATATTCAAATATCCAGAGTGATGTCAAGAGAACATTGATGAGAACT